GTGAGTGTGTGTGTGTGTGTGTGTGTCTCCCCATGGATCTGTATGTGTCTCTCCCTGTGGGTCTGTGGGTGTGTCTCGCCGTGGGTCTGTATGTGTGTGTGTCTCTCCCCACCCCACCCCCACCCCCGCGGGTCTATGTCTGGGCGTGGGTCAGTGGGGGGTGCTGGGGGTGAGAATCTGTGGGTGCCTGGGTGCGAGGGGGTGTCTGTGGGGCCCTGGGCGCGAGGGGGGAGGTCTGTGGGAGCCTGGGCACGAGGGGGGGTCTGTGGGGGCCTGGGCGCGAGGGGGGAGGTCTGTGGGAGCCTGGGCACGAGGGGGGGTCTGTGGGGGCCTGGGCGCGAGGGGGGAGGTCTGTGGGAGCCTGGGCGCGAGGGGGGGTCTGTGGGGGCCTGGGCGCGAGGGGGGAGGTCTGTGGGCGCCTGGGCGTGAGGGGGAGTCTGAGAGGAAGGAAGTGGTGAGCTCTTGTAGCCCCCGTAGTCAGGACACTGGTCCTGAGTGTCTTTTTTTGGAATATCTCCAGGGCCTATGGGCCTGCGCTGGTGGATAACCCCCCCCCCCCAGTGGAGTTATCCAGTCTTTGTTAAAGAAGAAATTAATTTTTAAAAAATTTACAACAATCTAATATGTGGTATTTCCTCATGTTTAGTTTTTATCAATAAAGTGAAAAAAATGTTGTTTGGTAGTAAAATCTACTTCAATAGCAACAATCAACCTCGGCAATGCTCTGCAGAGCACGGCAAATTTCTCCACAGTTTCGGGCAGATATTTCTGAAATATTTCACTTTTTTGTTGGCCCAGCTTATAGCCCGATTATACTGAAGGTAACGGTTGGTAATTGAATTGCCTGTTTATGTTCTGGGGCAGTTTCTGCAACCTTGCATAGTTTCTTAGTCCCCATTTAGGAGTTTTGTTCATTGCAACTACCTTCTATACCGTGAGGAAAGTGTATATCGGTGAGCTGTTGGAAAACTGCTTTGCTGGCTTGCTGAAGGCTGGCAGATGTTTGGTTTGATCAGGTCACCTCTGGCATTTATGTTGGAAGGTGAGGCAACACTGACAACACAGGTACAGCTGCCTCAGTGGCAGAAGCACTGAATTTATATATCGATATTAATGATTTACATTTTAATTTGTTAACTAAATGTATGTTCAATTTGACCTGCATAGCAAAGTTAACCTTAAAAAAGGCATGAACTGCACTCAGCAGAGATGCATTTTTGTATCCGGAGGGTTACTTGTGTGATGCAAGATCGTTAAAGCTCCTTTGGGAAGGCAGATGAGCGAAAATAGTGTGTGTTTAATGTGCATGTTGTATAAGCAATTTATACAATGGGGAACAAATTATCGGTTTCTGCAAAGACGACATTTGGTAAATAGACTGTAAGATTGTGTATTCCAATGATTTCAAGAAATGCGCAACAGTTTTGTGCAATTCAACAATCTTGTGGATGCAACTGGCAAGGAATTAATTTATGAATTGATACTGGTTAGTTGAAATGCATTCCAAGTGTTAAGAGCAGTTTCCAACCACTTCAATTCCCTCTGTCAATTAGTCATAAAATCTTGGGATTCAGGTGGATCTTAAGGGATGCAGCCTCTTCTTTTCCTTTCTCTCTCCTCCCCCACCACCACCATCTGCAATTTCAAGGAAACTTTTTTTTCTTGGTTATTCTGTCTCGTATTCTCTCTTCCCCGAATTTAAATTGGTTGTCTTAAATGCGTAGGAAGTCAGCCTTTTCTTCATGTTTTGTTTTAAAGGCTGGTCTGAAATATTGGACCTCAAGCAGGCTGCATTCTAATGGGATTACCTTATACACATAAATTGTTGCTGGTTCACAGCCAGGTAATTATAATTAATTTGTGACTTGAAGGTGCATTATTCGCAAGATGAAATGAGTAACACTAATATGATGCAACATTTCACAAATAAACATTTTTCAATTTCCATAGCTTTTCATGCTGCACTTACAATAGTGTAGCATTTCTGTTATGCTTATTGTACAGGTGGATTTTTGTCAAGCTGTTTTGAATAGTTTTACTGGCATGGAGTCTCAAAATTGCATTTAAGCCTGAAAGCTCTCCATCTGACATTATGAATTCATTACTGCCATCTGGCATTATAAACCCGCTGCTAACGTTATGATTCTTAAATGAAGAAACCAACCCAGTCTATCTATAGTTGGAAATCTTTCATTCCAAACTAAAATATACAGTTTAATAATCTTGAATTTGAAAACTAGTTTTGCTTTTCAACTGTTTTTATATGTGGATATCAAAGATATATTGGAATTCATTCATCACGATCAATCAAATTCTTAATAGTCGAATTTTTTAATGGACAGTTAAGTGCAAAATAACTAAAATTCATTGGTTGCCAATTATTTTGACTGTTAGAATTAATACTGAGTATCATTAGTGGATTCTATTATCACTTTTAAGCTCCATCTTTTAGCTGTGGTGAACCCCCCCACTCCCCCCGTATTCTTTCAGTGCTCGGGATTCCCAGAACTGTTTTGCAGTATTCTCAAATGTGGCTTCTCAGTGCTGTACTTGTGTGAAAAATAAGAGATTAGTGTTTAAGTCTGTGAAAAATTACTCATTTCATTACTTTTCCGGGAATTTTTTAATAGTTTTGACTGAATGCTCAAATACATAATTGCAGTAGATCTGCATTGTTCTGAAGAAACTCTACACAACAGTGTAACTCAGGAAATGAGCGGTGGGGCTTTTTTATAAAAATCATGGTTGGCTCATCTAATTTGTGTTGCCATGGTTCATTGCAAGGCTACTTGTCGTGCATTAAAAGTACAGTATTTGGCTATAGTGTATTTCTTTGAGGTGTACGTTTTAAAATCGCTTCACAGAATATATTGTAAAGTGAAATGACTGTATTTTGTGGAGTCCTGCAGCTTAGTGGTTAGAGCACTCGCCTCGCAATCGGGAGGACCTGGGTTCGATTCCCGGGCAGGGTGAAAATGTTGGGCATGTTTCCTTACTCTACACGCTTCTGTTCACCTAGCAGTAAGTAGGAACCTGGTCGTTTTCAGGATAATAATCCGTTCAACAAAAAAAAATAATAATAATTTGGTCACTCAATCCACGACTGTTTGTGGGACACTGCTATGCGCAATTGGCTGCCGCGTTGGCCCACAAATATATACAGTCAATTCACTTTGCAGTGTACTCTGTGAAGCGCTTTGAGACGTCTCGGAAGACATGATAAGGCGCTATATCAAATGCAAAGATTATTGTATTATTATTGATGAGCCCAGGATTATTTGTGTAATGGGCAAGTTACTTGACTTTGTTGCAACCAAGCCAATACTGTTCTGACTTGACATTCAAGAAAGAGCCACTGGCTAGCAAACCGCTTGTCAGGATGTCAAATCCCGATTAATTGCTCCTATGTATTCCGATTTCTTCCTTCAGTTCTCTAAATGTTTTGCTGGGTTTCTCAGCAGTGCCCCAGCTAGTTTGGTGTCCTTACCATTTGTTGAGACTGTTTTGCCTGGGAACTTTAACTGGTCTTGGGTATGTGCTCTCTTGCTCTATTGACCGGGTAGGAGGATATCTGAAGGCTGCACAATACTCGTCTGAATCAGGATGTTCAGTGTCTTTAAGCTGTCCTTCAATTCCACGTTCTTCTGTAAACAGGAAAGAGTGCAAGTTATCATCAATTAACTTTGCGGCCAGTGCAGTGGCTAATCATGTGTCGGTTGGCTCAGTTGGTAGCAGTTGCCTAGGAGTCAGAACGTTGTGGGTTCAAGGCCCGTGTTGAGGACATTGAGCCCATGATCCAGGCTGATACTCGTGTGCAGATTGGGTGGGGGCACTTCATTATCGAGTGCCATTCTTCTGATCGTATATTAAAAGGAGGTCCTGTCTTCCTGTTCAGGTCTATTTTAAAGATGCCACTGTTTGAAAAGAGAATTGAGTTTGCCCCGATGTCCTGGCCAACAATCTTGCAGTTAATTGGTCATTCACTTTATGGCTTTGTGAGACACTTGATAGTCACTACACTTTACAGAAAAACTCTGTAGCATTTTGAGATTTCGATGTGATAAGTTGCAGTAATAAATGCAAGGGTTGTTTTGCCAACCTATGGCACAGAGAGATCTGTACATAATTAAATATAATATGGCAATTTACATTCTGTAGCAGTTTGTCAGAGATTTGCAGGGCTGCATGATTGTATCCATTCTTGATGAGGTTTGTAGGCATAACTAAACTGGAGCATTTTATGTTCAAATGCATTTATCACATTGTCAAATTTTCAAAGCAACCACAAAGGAATTTACTGTAACAAAACTGTATTTTCCAGCAAAATGTAGTCGCATTGATCATTACTCTGCTCAAGTTATCTGTCTTTGGGACCGAGAGTTGATGGTAAACCACTGAACAAGCATGTCGTTTCAATAATACTTTTTAAAAAAAATCTGCAGGATGAGTGTTACCGTAAAATGTGTGTGCACCAGAAACTTCTCGCCCATGATCTACAAAAACAAATCATGCAACTCACTTGAAAGTTTGCTAGAATAGTAAAAATAATGTGAAATGTGAAATACTGTTTGATACTGAACCGCTATATTTGTAGGTAGATTTGTGTATGACTTTCAATGGACTACTTTCCCTCTCCTGTTCACCTATGGTTATTTTAATGACAAATTGTAATCCTGCAGTCAGTGCTGTAAAAGACACCTTTGTTTTTGGTTTATCTATAAATTACACTAAATGTTGATATGAAGGAATAGGGTCAGATTAATTTGCTTGGTGTCCATTTGACTCTTGTGTGTAAGGCAATGTCATGTTAATTTATAAACCCTATAAATGAAAGACGATGTTTTATTTAAAACCCTGTAAAATGTATAATGCTCACATTTAGTATTCTGCTAAATCTTCTACCAGATATTAGTACACTTCTAGAAGTTAAGTAATGAATACAGTGTGGTTCTCATTTTAAACTGAGAAACTGTGCTAATTCTTGATTTTTTGTGATGCAGGACTTTGTTGGAATACAGACCTGCAAGAAATGCACACGATATAATGTACAGAGTTTGGAAGGAAATCACATTCCCGTGTATTGACTGCAAAGACAACTGCTACTGTAAGTATCCTGGCACTTGTCAATGTAGTGGGGGGAGAATCTGAAAAAATATGGAAGTTCACTGCAGAGTAGTGATGGGGAAATGAGAGGACCAAAAATCCTTTGTTTCTTGAGTTCACTCTGCTTCTGAAATGTGAAAAACTCTAATCCTGAATGTTAGCAAAAGCAGTAGTTTTGCTGCGCGTGTTTTACTTTCTAACACTTGGGGGACCTTTTTTTNCTCAGTTGAAAAATTGCCCGAAACTGAGCCGTGATCACATCACCACTTATGGTTTGTCATTGCATCAACAACAACAACAAAACTTGTATTTATATAGCACCCTTCACACAGGGTAGCGTCCCACATCATTGGCTTTTTGCCGTCATAGTTCCTTGCTTCTTCCATGAAAACTCCAATGAGAGATTAGAGACCAAAAGACCTGCCACAAAACATCAATTATTTCCAGGCCTTGCAATTGGGAATTCACCTTTTTTTATATTATATAAAAAAAGAAACATTTGCAGGACTTGTAGCGTAAGAGCAGGGAGTGTGACAAGTTGGGGGTTCTTTTACAGGCTCCTTCTGTTCTGTAAAATTATATGAGAGTTGGTCCTTTAATTGTATTATCCTTTCAATTTTGCAAACCATAATGACTGAAGTGAAAATCATATTTTCAGTTTCGGTGATCATTTGAAGCTGGGTTGAGGTTCAAAGATATGTTGATTATATTTTTTGGTCTGGATGCATATCAGATTTACAGCAATCCTCGCTCATTTGAAGGTAATGTTAGCTTTACTGGTATTCTGGTCATGTTTATTTGGTAAATTTGTTCATAATTGTTTCTCCTTGTAGGTACGAGAAATGAGTGTGGGACGCAAAAGAACAAAACTGGTTGGGATTTTGATGATGGTAAACATATTCATTTATATCGTTGTCGAAATCTCCAGGAGTGGCCACCAGAATAAAAACTCTGGTAAAAAGGTGATCTTACCTAAAGGCCCATTTTGGAAGACTGAGGTTTCTGTCAAGGCTTATTGGAATCGTGAACAGCACAAGCTGGATGATCTGTACAACCCTGTTATAGCTGCTCTGCGCAATGCATCTATGACGGAGAGTTTGAACGCTTCAACCATGCACACCTGTGAACCTAACTATCAATTGAAGAACGAGATTCGTGATTTTGATACTTTGCCTGACCGTTTCAAAGACTTTCTATCGTACTTGAGATGTAGAAATTACCCACTGATGATAGACCAACCAACCAAATGTCAGAATAAACCTACACTGCTGCTAGCAATAAAATCACTGGAATCGCACTTTGATAGAAGGCAAGCCATACGTCAATCATGGGGAAAAGAAACTACCATAGGCAATCAGACTATTGTCAGGGTCTTTTTACTGGGAAAGGCTTCTGCATCGGATGACTTCCCCAACCTTTCAAACATGTTGCAGTTTGAGAGCAGCCAGCACAAAGATATTCTTCTCTGGGACTATAGGGACACGTTCTTTAACCTAACCCTGAAAGAGATATTTTTTCTCAAGTGGGTAAGTAAATCTTGCCCTGACGTTCATTATATTTTTAAAGGAGATGATGATGTTTTTGTAAACACGGTGTATATGGTGGATTACTTAGAGACACTAGATAAGGAGAAAGCCAAAGATTTATTTGTTGGTGATGTGATTACAAATGCCGGACCTCATCGAGAGAAGAAACTGAAGTATTATGTTCCCGAGAATGTATTTGAAGGAATGTATCCTCCATATGCAGGTGGTGGTGGGTTTCTGTACTCTGGATACTTGGCAAAGAGACTTTATAATGCAACCCATCAAGTAACACTATATCCAATTGATGATGTGTATACTGGAATGTGCCTTAGAAAACTTGGTTTGGCTCCGGAAAAGCATAAGGGTTTCAGGACTTTTGACATAATGCAAAAAGATAGGCAAAATATCTGTGCTTATAGAAACTTAATACTAGTCCACAGCAGGAATCCTCAAGAAATGATCAGAATCTGGAATAAGCTGCAAGCTCCTGGGTTGAAGTGTTAATGCAAAACAGTATGCGAAAAAAGTGAATGATTGATGAATTTGAGGCATTTCATTGGATATGGGAAGTCCAGTATACAGTATTTTGCACACTTAAAGGATACTATGATGATGATGAAGAAAACTGACCTGATCTGCATAGGATGAATGTGCAAATCTACCATATTGTGATCAGTAATGTGCTTGAAATCAGAAATGATGAAATCAGAATGATGAATTAGTCCAAAGGAATCTTGGTTTTTCCAAGAAACTGTTTCAAAGAGATGGTGTCTGTGTTTGTTCTGTTGGCCTGCTGTAACCTTACACTTTTTTTTGTTACCGAAAATACGAAGTGGCTGAATTGACTTAATCGTGTGCACCCTGAATTTCTTTTTGATGTGCTATCATAAGAGATGGGCAGTATTTTTCTTTTGTCGGGGACAGGCAGATATACAGGTTTGGAATGGTCATTCATCATGTGGTGAGATCCTGATTGCAGTCGTGGCACAGTGTGCGGATGGCCAGACACCAGTCCACAAGAAGAGGATAGAGATTAAGCTGCAAGACCTATAATGCTCAATAGTTTTATTGGGATTGTATCCCCTCGGGATTTGTTTTCTATTGGAAGCTGGGATAGCTAAAGCAGCCTTTCAATGGCGAGCAAAGCTCTTAATAGGAAGTAGCATTGAATCCCAGCTCAATCAGTGGCCTATAGCTGGGCCCATTGAAAGGAGCCATATGTCTGCTGAGGATACCAGTGGAAGGAGGAGATCAACAAATGATGCCAGGCTATATATTGGGAGTATGCTGTGTGTGTATTCTTCTTTTCCCCTTCTCCCCCCACAATCAAAGATTTTTTTTTAAAAAAAAAATTCCAACATTTATGTCCAAGGTTGTTACAAACTGATTTTAAACAGTGCCTGACCATTACAAAAGTGGGAAATGTGTTAATTCAGTATGTAATAGAGTAGGCTAAGAAATCATTGAATAATTGGATTGTGTGACTGTTGTCTCTTTAAAACATTTTTTTTAAAAATGTGCACAGGTAATTTTACTGTACCTCATCAATGGCAGTGTTTCATGTCTTCAAAGAAGAATGTAAATCGATTTTGTTCAATAAATCTGATTACTGAATGGAAAGTTGATGCCCTTTACGTTTTAGTGGTGGAGTAAATAAATTCAAAGGTTGTCTCATTCTGGATTGCTACCAGATTATTTGCAATCTATTGAAGGTTGCTGGATAGTCTCTAAAATGTGTAAGCATGTATGCTTCCTGTGTTTTTATGTGAAAAAGTGCCTGCTGTTTTATTTATTCAGATCAAAAAAAAATTGTTTTTAAAATGCAAACTACATACAATCAATATGTACTGTTCTGTCTGTACAAAGTGTGACTTGTCCTAAATAAACTTGGTTAATATAATCCTTCACACGGCTGCGAATGCAACTATAATGGTATTCTCCGGTGCATCGCTTGAGTGATGTGCAGATCGTGCTCAATTGGCAATTTGTTCTACATGTATAAATTAAACCAGGTTAAGTCTCTGGCTGTTTGAAGTAAATGCAGTACTCTGATATAAAGTACTGTAATTTCAAAACCATTCATGTGAAAAGTAATTATTTACACTCAAAAGGAAAAAAAGGATTTGTTTTGAAATAGATGGAATTGGCTAGTGCTTATTTTCCTGATCGGCGTTGCTGACTTCATGCTATTTTTGTCAATCACCCTGCACTTCCCAAACTTCGTGTCCAGCTGTGGAAACTGGAAATCCAAGTCGTATGGAGATGGGAGAAGACGACAACTCCAAAGAGAAGTTAGTATCTGGTAAACATCACAAATGCTGTGGAAGTAGAGTTCAATCACAAAGATATTCATAGTTTTATTGGGATTGTTTCCCCTTGGGTTTGTTTTCACCCACAAAATATACAGTCACTTTACAGTATTTTCTGTGAAGCGTTAGATATTCTCAGCGATATGATAAGGCGCTATATCAAATGCAAGAATTATTATTAACACAATAATAATAGCTAGATAAAGAAAGATATCGATCTATGGGAAACTGAAAAAGGAAGTTTAGTTAATTTAATTTTAATTCAAGGATTGCCAAATTGTCTCAGTACTGTTATATTTTATTGCCTGTTTTATTTATTTGTTGTTGGATATTTGCACCCACTCCTTCCAAAACTGATGGTCACTTCATGTCAATGAAAGAAACTAATTGTTTTGGAACTGCAGAGATTTAATTAGAGGCTTATTGCCCCATTTCAAAATGTTCTGGGTGGGAACTGCAGTGCACAACAGGATTATGGATGAGGCTCCAGCTCGTTTCAAAAATTGAAGGAATTTGCTTAACTACCCAGATTTCCTTCAGTCCTGTTATAAATTATAAATGTTGATGGTGTTACTGTAAATCTCTGGCTATTATCCTTTCAGTTATCCTTACCACAAATGCAGCCGAAACTCTCGTGCATGCATTTGTCACCTCCCGCCTGGATTACTCAAACGCATTCCTCGCCGGTCTTCCCAGCGCCACTATTCAAAAGATCCAGTTCATTCAGAACTCTGCCGCCCGCAGGCTTACCCGGACCAAACTCCATATACACATCTCACCAGTTCTGGACAGGTTGCACTGGCTCCCCATCAACGAATGGATCGACTTCAAGATCCTCACACTCGTGTTCAAAACCCTTCACTCTCTGACACCTCCCTACCTCTCCGACCTCCTCACTCCCCAATCCACGACCTGGTGCCTCCGCTCGACAGGCACCGGCCGCCTGCTCGTCCCTCGCACCCTCAGCCCCACTATCGGAGGTCGGGCTTTCAGCCACTACTCCTTGAAACTCTGGAACACTCTCCCTCAATCCCTCCGCCTTGCTCCCTCTCTCCCCTTTTTCAAGTCCCGTCTAAAAATCTTCCTCTTCAACCGTGCTTACGGCCACCTCCCACCTCCTCCCCACTCCCCCCCAGCTCGGACTCAGGCTCTGATACTCTTAAGTGATCTCAGCCGCTACCCTGCATGAAGGGCGCGATATAAGTGCAAGTTGTTATTCCTTCACTTAGATAGATAGTCACTCAATCCACCACTGTTCGTGGGACCCTGCTGTGAGCAATTGGCTGCTGCGTTTCGCTCACAAAATACACAAGTCAGCCCACTTTACAATATATTTTGTGAAGTGCTTTGAGACGTCTCAAACGTGATGAGGCACTTTATCAAATGCAAGGATTATTATACTAATTATTCACTTTTACTCTTTCAGTTGTGGGAACCATTGCTTATTCAGAATGGGAACTTGGACTTGTCTTCTTTTTGTAAGATTTAGGAATCCCATCTAAGCAATTTGTTGTAATGACAACAACTAAGAATTAACTACTTATTCCTTATGTATGTTTGGGTTCTACCCTAGCACAGAATATGCTGTCTGATCATTCTGTCATTTTGCTCCTTATGAAGTTGTTGTGCTGTTTTAAGATTTTTTGTGTTTGGGTCTGATACAAGATTCCGTCAAGATGAGGTAGTTTGTTTCTGCATGTAATGAGGGATGATGAAATGCAAGTTTGCTGTGTTCCAGATTTAGCAAATGATGTATGTGGAAAAACTTGTTGTGAAGATGAAATGCTGGCACAAATGGAGTATGAAATGTGCGTAAGTATGAAATTGCATTTTTTTGATTGCTGCATTAGTTGCTTTCCATGTCGCATTTCTCAGTAGGCGTTTTCTTTTTCTGTATTGGTTAAGTTTTAAAATTCCACAATTGTTTGTGTAACATCCCAAGGTTATAGAAGCTTACCAGTTCCCGGTCACATTAACCTCAGTGTTAAAAGTATAACAGCCTCCTCCCTTATGCATCTGAACACTAAAGTGAAATGTGAGTTGCCCATCTTATCACATAACCACTGCAGAGTGGTTTATATAATAGTAATAAAATAATCCTTGCATTTGATATAGTGCCATCTTCAAGACGTCTCAAAGCGCTTCACGGAATACACTGTAAAGTAAATTGACTGTATTAAGGGTGAAACGGGTTTATTTGTGTTTCAGGAGCATGACTAGGCTCTGGTACCATTATCACACATTTTAACTATATCCAAGGTGACTACAATTGATATTAATTTTTCAGTAAAGCATAGTCTCTGCGTTGAGGAAAAATATTTGGGCTTGAAGTGTTGCAATGTGACAATCACATGATGACGTTGATGCCTGGATTAAACCTCTCTAAAGGGGTCACTGGTATGTGTCCAATTATAGCATAAGCAGGAACAAATACCGACTGTAGCTCAGAGGTCAGAAATTGAAATCCATTTAACCAGTCATAAATGACTTGCTATAAATACCTTCGCAATTAGGCTATCTAGATGGTTTCCGAGTGAGGAGTGCCAAGAGTTGTAGCGGCCTCATAAATGGGAGGTGTTTGCAAATCACAGTTGCCTAGGAGAACACTTGGGAGGTTTTCCATTGAAAGCAAAAGCATTACTAGGTGGCCTGAGAAAATCCTAACAGGTGTTACCACTTTTATTACCAATAAAAACTGGTTCAAAGCCCAAAATATTGCAGATGCTGGAAATCTAAAACAAAAACAGAAGTCGCTGGGAACACTCAGCAGGTCAGGCAGCATCTATGGAGAAAGGAAAGTGAGTCAACGTTTCGGGTCCAAGACCCTTCGTCAGAACACAAAGAACTAATTCAACTCAGTCATCATAACTTGGATTCAACCTGCAGTGCTCGTCCTGCTATCCGAAAGTCACACACTGCCGAAAATAATAAACTGGGCGCTAGTGTTCCACACCCAGCTTCAAGCCAGTGAGCTGGGTTTCTTACACATTCCTGCAGTGCTATATTGTAAAGGTCTGGTATCATCTATCAATTTTCAATCTCATCTTTTTATACAACAACAGATTATGTTTGTATAGCACCTTTCACGTCAGAAGGACATCCCAAGGAAGTGGTTGGAATCAGGAGGGATGGAGGGCGGGTAGAGGTAGGAGGGTGACTGAAAGCACGGTGAAAGAGGAGGATCTTGAGATGGGTATTGAAGGAGGCAAGGAAGAGGGCGAGGCAGAGGGACTGAGATGCAGTTCAAGAGGGTGGGGGCAGAGAGGCTGAAGGCCAGCCCGCCAATAGTGGGGCAGGCAAGGTGAGGGACGTGAAGTAGGCTGGAGCGAGGGAACGGGCAGGTTGGTCAAGGGTTAGGAGGTCACATAGATAAGGGGGAGTAAGACCGTGGAGGGCTTTGAAGGTGAGGACCAGGATCTTGAACAGTATCCTCTGAGTGATGGGAAGCCAGTAGAGTCGGGCGAGGATGTGGGTGATAGATTCAAACAAATTGTCCCGAAATTATGACCCACCCCCTTTCCCTTGATGACTCTCTCACCTGAGCAGGAAACTTGTGCCACCCACTTCCTGCCTTTGTAAAGTTGCAAAAGTGTCACGCTTTGCTTTGAGATTGTGTTCATGGAGGTAGAGTGGCTGAGTAACTGTGCCCTGATGTAATTAAAGAAAAGAACATACCGGCATTCAGAACATTCAACTATTAGAGCGGCTGTGGGATGGAGATCCAGAGGGTGGGGGCAGAGAAGCTGAAGGCCTGCCCGCCAATGGTGGGGCAGGCAAGGCGGAGGACGTGAAGTAGGCTAGAGCCCGCTGAGGGGAGGGAACGGGCAGGTTGGTCAGGGCCACAAATCCGTGTCCTCAGATGGCTGTACTGTACATTTCCCTGAGCCTTGGGTTCATTGGCCTTTTTCCTTTTGCAGCTGTGGGTTATGTCTCTGCTATTTTCATCTTGGCTGAGGAGGAGACTGGCTCAAAGGCAATGTGAAAAAAAATCTTGGCACACACGTATAACCTTAAGTCCCATATTAAAACCAGCAAGGCCCTCTAAGTTACACTTCGTTTATTTGAAAATTGCCGGTCTCAAGATTGAGTTCACACTCTGTGTTTGTGGATTCTTTCTATCAATTAACAAACCAAAATCACATTTAAAACTGTTGTGATTGAAACAGAAGTGATTTAAAAGATTATATGAAGGCTTTGATTTATAAAAATATTGTTTTAAATGCAATACATTTCAGGACTCCTACAGTCTGCACACGTGAAATTATCTGGATATCTGATCAAATACAGTAGTTCCAGTTATGTCCTGATCAACCTTGTCTCTGTCTGCTGGCTTGACATTGCTGTTCAATAATTGTGCATTTTCCATTTAATCAGAAGGGTCCTTCTTTCCTTGTGAAAACATTGAGATGAGCTTTCCTGCTCACTATATAATAATAATCCTTGCATTTGCTATAGCGCTTTATCACAACTTCAAGACGTCTCAAAAGTGCTTCACAGAATATACTGTTAAGTGAACTGACTGTATATTTTGTGGCCCAAACGCGGCAGCCCCCAATTGTGTACAATAGTGTCCCACAAACAGTTGTGAATTGAGTG